TTTTCTCTGTATCTATGAAGCGCCTTGAGGCGACTTTTGTTGTGATTTGGCGCTATATAAATAAAATTGAATTGAATTAAGTGTGAGTCATTTGCAAAATCCTGACACTGTGGAAATTTCCCATAAAATGTGATAACCTGGGCACAGAGCACAGTTCACTGCAAAAATGATGATGATAAGTGAACTAAATGTGATTGAGAAAATGATCATGGCTCAGAAATTTTAATGCAAACCACACGTTCGACACTCACCATGATGTACATGGCTCCTGAAGGCATGACAGGGGTCAGGCCGGGGACGGAGGACAGCTTGCTGAAGCAAATCTCTGAGTTAGACTGAGGAAGCAAAAAAAGATCAACCATTCACACAGTGTCATGTGATGCATATTAATGTGCATTACTATGTGATTTTGAGACAGAATTAAGACATAACAACAAGAATTTGGACTGAAGGAACAAAAAAGGAACCAGGGTCAGCTACTGCTACTCAAATTCCAGTAAATTATAAAGGTGGAATATATTAAAACAACTTCTCTCCATTACCTTAAGGAAGCTGATGGTGCTGTTGTAGAAGCTTTGAGGAGTGTTGTTGAAGATTTGCTCCAGCGCCCCCTGAACGATGCTGCAGGCTCCCAGAATACGCTGGCTGAGTTTTACCAGACCCTGTCGAATCTGAACGAAGAAACGTGTCAGTCGGGTAAATGTAACGTGCAAATTATTGTATAACATTGTGTGTTTGGGTTTGAGTATTGAAACAATCACGCAACGCTTCCCCCATCAGGTCAAATCGTGAGTTAACTGTAATAAATAAATAAATAAAAAGTACCTCAGTTCCAAATATGTCATTCCTGTCATGGATGAGGATCCATCCCATCCTCCAGCCAGGCACCAGCCAGCGTTTAGCCAAACCGCCACAGGACAGGATGGGAACATCACTGCTGAGGGATGCCATTGAAGGAGAACTGCATCCTGGGAAAACCTGAGGGCAAAAACAAGAATAAAAACTTTATATTACATATGCAGATATTTGACTTCCTTTGACTTTCATACGTTTACAGATGTTTCATTGAGGCATGCTGTTGTTGTTTGGATCAGTTTGGGTTTCCCACAGACTGACACCACAGTGAAAAACGAGAGGGCTTGGAGATAAGTGGAAAAAAATCATAGGAATTCTTGGTAATTTTGAAATTATGTTATTAACACGAAGGCTCGGTTATTAAAGAGAGACCAAACTTTCTCAGGCAGATCAGAGGAAGGACGGGAAGACCCAGGGCTGGAGGTGGGTTGCAAAGCAAGTTGCAGATGCACAGCAACTATTGCTGACTGAAGCAGCTCAAAGAGAGCCCTTCATATAGCGCTTCAAGAGAGCAGATTTCTCCTGTTTTGGCCTTCTGTTAAATCCAGAATTCAAAATCCTGCTCCTCACATACAAGGTCTTAAATAATCAGGCCCCATCTTATCTTAATGACCT